TCTCTGTGCCCTTACGCCGAATGATGCGCGGCAAGATGTTGCCGGCCGGTTTTTAAGTACTCGATGATACAGATTGCGTGAAAAGAGAGATGCGTAGCGATATTTTATTACGTATCTACAAACACGTGTCGCTATAACAACAAATAAACGTACGGAACTCGGTAAAGAATCGAATATATAAAACTCGTCAAAAAGTTCTATTTCCCTCCCGAATAAAACGCAAATCTTACTATTCATCTTTTTTACTACTTAGACGCATTTTTTGACGAAGTATTAATTTTTACATTTGCAAACACGCACTTATCACACGTCAGATTCGTTCCCTTCCAGCACTCCACGATCTTATATTTCAGTAGCGTAAGAGAGAACAATTTTTTAAAGAAATTCAAAATATTGTAGTTAAAAAAATATTTCAAGAGAGCGGAAAGAAATATGCGCAAGAATATTTCATTCAGATTTGGTTTTTGTGTGTATTAAACTCTATATAATATTCTCTTGAGGTATTCGACGTGTTAAAAAAAAATCTTTAACTTTCCACACATAATTTAGTTAGGCAACGCGGTGTCTTAACGAATCGCGAAGTGGAGCTCGAATTCCGACAACAGCGTGCTTTCAGCAGGAAAAGAGTTTTTTTTTTCTTCACAAATTTTTTTGGAAAATTTCTTACTTCGAACGATACTACATTTTGCACGCCACGTGATCGCGAATATGTAATCAAACTATACGAGTACATACTCGATTTACTCGATGAAATTAATCTACTGGATATCAATTACTTACTCGATATATAGGCACTGAACTAGGGAGATCTGCGCCGTGAAAAATAAATATACTAACAGCTACCTGTTTAACGGAGGTAGTAGCAATGCAGTTGACACTCTCCTAGTTGTGACCGTCTTACATTTTGTATAATGAAAAGTGTCACCGGATACATACTTCACAACTGGTTACGGCGTTTATATCACATTGAACTCGATAATTTCCGTCGAATGATTTTTCGCACGAAAATGAGGGATCAGCGTAAAAATGCTGCTGTGCGTAAAAATAGTGCATAGATAGCTCTTTCAAAATTTTAAGTTTGTATTCTGCTCTCACTCCCTAAAACTTTTAAGAGTAAATCCCACTCTTAAAGATTAAAAATTGATCTCTCTTTTTCAAGATTGGTACAATTTTCACTTTTCAGAGTGAGACTCCACTCGAAAAAGCTAACAGAACGCGTAATGCTTTCACGACATAATATTGATTTAAGAGGAACGATACAGCTATACCTACGTCGACTCACAAAACATCGTTATTGCGACGATGGCAGTCTGACCGATTACTTACTGATCTAACTAGTCTTCTCACGTGGGAAAATTAAACGTTTCTTCAAAGAAGACCTACGAAGAAATGAGCCACGTGCTTAGAGGCGATTACTTCTGATTTTGTGAAAACAACGTGCAGATTTAGAAAAGAAATCAACGGAAGCACTCGCACCGCGCGTGCAATGTCTTTCGCAAGACACACCTTCTTCTCGCGGACTTGTACGCGTGACATTCTTATTTACGGCCTCCTCCCATCCCCGAGAAATGCTGCGCGTAACGGTATATCTTGACGTACTTGCTTGGCCGTTATTTCCTTAACCCTTATCCTGAGAAAGAAAAAGGGATACAAAAAAAAACGGAGATATCTTTGTATCTCTCCCACCGTAGTAATGAAAATTCATAAAAATTTCCCACCGTAGTAATTAATAATTATCTTCTTGTAGCTGAAGAACTTTATCACTGGCACATTTAAATGCCGCTTTGTGGAAAGGAAAAAGTTGCTTGGGTAAGATCTAAAACAGGTATCTGAGAGATCTCGTTGCCAATTCGGTTGCCTGAGCGGTTCTTGAGGAAAGCACGGCGCGTGTCCCTCGAGAATCCGCCGGTGAGCATCAGGCGGTCGTGTTATTGTCCAACTCGGCGAACTCGCGCGTCACCTTGCAGACGTAGTACAGACGTTCGTAGAGGTCCGGGGTGCAGCCGAGGTCACGGAGGTCGTTCAGCCAATAGGAGGATGCGTGTCGGCCGGTGTCGATGTAAGTGATCAGATAGCCCCTTCCTCCCGCGGATTCCTGCGACACCACCATCTTCGTGTGGTCCACGAAGAAGTTCACTTGCAGGAGTGGTACCGTTAGCTCCATCACGATGGCCTTGTCCGTACGTAGCCACCGTCTCATTCGTGGCACGCAAGCGTTTTTCGACTGCCTCGGCGGCGCGCGGTATTTTTTTAGCTCACCACCTAGATGGCATGCATTAATGTTTTCACTTATTATTAATTTTAGGTCGCTGTAATAGTACAGTAAGGAAGAAATATTTGGAACTATTTCAGTAATATTGCAGTAATGTTGCAACCTTACTTGTCGCAACGTTACTGAAATATTCCAAAACGTTCCAAAATGTTGTCTGCTCACTGAGCGGACTACAAGTAGGTCACATTCTCACATGTTATGTTTCGCACTTGAAAGACATAAGTATATACAAGCTCCATGAAGTGGCGAGTTGCGTTTCTTCCGTTTAAAGAAATGGAAAATCTGCTTGCATTATAAATTATAACATACACATTATAATACATACTCACCTTCTGTTAGAAAGTCATCCATATATTCGGTAAAATGACGGAGTAATTCGAGCTTCTTTTGCAGTGGTGCCGGCACATCTCTCTCTCGATGATATCGCGTCATCTCGTCGTCGGTGGTCATATATTCCACTCTTCTGTGTATGACAAATTTAATGAAATTAATTAATTAGTAAGAAATTCTTATCAATCTTATGAAAAAAAATTACATTATATAAAATAACGCGTATGATTTCTCATTAATTTCTCTCGATATTCACCTTCTATCATGAGTGTAACTGATCTTCGTGTTGTCGTTGAAGAGAACACCAACCGACCTGTCGGAGAGTTGAAAGCCCAGCCCGTACTTGTTCGAATAATCGATCCATTTGGTGACGAAGAGCGGCACGATGTCCTCTACGGTTGGTGGATTGCACGCGTTATTCCGCTTCATCTCCGGCACGCACGCTTCTAGTGCGCGATGCATCTGTACGCTTTGCGCCACAAAGCTGGTTTTCTTGTGATCTGGACACAGCACGCTGCTGAGCCGTTGCCGGAATCGCGGTAGTTTGGGTAACTTCCTCACGAGCCAGCTAGAGACCTTGGACTCCTTTTGCAGACTTTTCTGCGAGCGGTTCAATAGATGTTGCTGGTACTGCGACTGCTGTTGCGCCTGCTGAGTCGGAATTGTCTGTTGATAACGCAATGACGCGTCAGGATAAACGAGACTCTGCTGCCATATCTGAAATTTTATGAATTTTTTATGAATTTTAAACAATATTAAACAAGAGTATCTTTTTTATCTTTTTCTTTTTTTTTTTTTGGACCGCGTAATATGAATACACAACAAATAGAAAACAAACGCTCTAAAAGGTCAAGCTGGATCCATTGTGTTTAAATAATTCAGTGTGAATTTATATACTACATGTTCAATCCTGCAAACTTCATTTTCAGTCTTCAAACGCAGCAATCCTAACAGAATTTACTAGAGTAATAATATCACAAATTATATTAATAAGCTATTTAATAATATCGATGCTCATCGTCAAAAGATCTTAACAATTTGGACATCGGATTTCGTCAGATTCGAAGATCCATCAAAATTATGTTATATCCGTTAAAAATCTTTCAAGTTGAATTATCAAGGTTACTCACCTGCGCCTTAATTTCCGGATTTCTAGCGACCGTAGATACCGAGGATGGTGACGAGGGTGGCTCGATGATTGATGCCGGTGGCATTTGGTAGCAGCAAGTGTGAGGTAAAGATGCTGGCACGTATTCCTTGGTTAAATAGACGTGTTCCTTCACCCTCTCTAGACTCGGTCGTAATTCGGGATTAGATTGCAGCAACCACCTGATCAAGTCTTGGCCGCTTCTGCTCGCGATACTGTCGTCGACCTCACGGTAATGGTTGTTGCAGATCCTGGCGTAAGTCTCCTTAAGTGTGGCTGTATCGAAGGGTGGTTGTCCTACCAGCAGGGCATACAATATGCAGCCCAGCGCCCAAACATCCGCTTCGTAACTGTACGCTTGCTTGTACAGCACTTCCGGAGCGATGTAGTTTGGCGTGCCGCATATCGTCCTGTGGATACAAATTGGCTACATGCTACGACGTTTTGTTGATGCCGCTGGTTACTTGTGTTTAGACAAGCACGTCCAGGCGTAACAATCGTCTTAGGGCTCCGGAAAAGGGATCTCCGGTATTTGTGTTACGTTTTTGTCGAGGAGAGTCGTTAAGGCACTGATACAAAAATAATCATAACAAAAAAGGGTTTGTGAGACGTCCATAATTGTATCGTCAGTTAGATCAATATTATGTGCTTTTTGCTTTCAATTTTTATAAACTGGCTAATATATTTATAAGTTAAATGACAAAATGAATTAAGTAACAGACAATTGTGATACAAAAATGGACCGAAAACCTGTTTTAGAAGATAAGAAAAACTGTTTTCGCTCAAAGCAAATTTTAGTGCGCTTAAAAATATTTCGGTGAATTTACATACTCGATACATATTCAATTCTGCAAACCGCGCGCCGAAATCTTTTTCCGTCTTGCGAAATTATGAATAGAATTAGAATAGTAACGTCGTATATTAATCATATTTAATAATATTAATGCTAATAAGCATGTTATAGTTATAAGAATATTAATATAATTTGATGTTAAAGAGAGAATCTGTGAAATATCACTCTTTAATATTACCATTACAAATATTACAATTAACAAGAAGTAAAATTGTTCGTGCAAAGGAAGAACGTGTATTTCTTGAGTTGCAAATTAAATTGAGCCTTACACTCGTCTACGCTGACCGTCAGGCCTGGTCGCTAGTCCGAAGTCGCCGATCTTGACGATCATCCGGTCCGATAGGAACATGTTGCCGGGCTTCAGATCCCGGTGCACGACTTTCTGCGAGTGGATGTACGCGACGCCGGTCACCATTTGCTTCATGTAGTAACGTGCTTCCGGTTCCGTGACTTTGCCACGGTACTTCAGCACGTGCATCAAGCTCTGGCGGAGAGAAGAAGAGGAGAAGATGATATTTATACATCCTGAGAAGATAGCTTGCTTCACGCGTTTAATGACGTGCAGAAAGTCGCCTGACGGAAGAATGGCACGATAAAACGTAACGAGAACTATTATATAGATTTTTTTTTTTTATTCACTTTATACTCTTCACCTTTTTCTCCCTACGTTTTCTTTGTGCCCGCAATCTTATAATCTTTGGAGATGATACAATGGATGATAAACGTGATATTACAAAACCTATAACGAAATTTCAGGAAAGTAACTATATATTACACAGGAGATTGTGTAACGGCCACTTATAACTCTTTTTTAAAAAGAGAACAAGCAAACGGGAAGAAAAAGTTTCCTGGCAGGAAGATAATCATCTCGAATGTATGGAATGCAAGTGCATTTTTCGAAGAACATTATTCTGTAGCTTATGTGTCGCTTTATTTTCGAGGCGTCGTTTTATCTGCGATTCAGTAGAAACATTAGGGTAAGCGCATCTGCATTTTTCACGCCAGTCACGATCATAAACTTGTTAACTTGTGGTTGACGTTATTTCTTTAAAATGCAAGCTTTCGACGAAATGAGACGACTTTATGAGGCTATTTTGCGGACAAAATGTAACATGAACAAATTTTTTTCCCGTTAAATGTTACGAGATACGAAATATTCTTCTTTACGAATTCCTCAAAAGTACAATTATCAACTTTCGGTGCGATTTTTTTAACGACACGTTACTATTACTTTTACTATAGATTCACGATTATGTTTTCTAGATCTAATTTAAAAATAATACAACAAATTTTTTTTTTTAATGATGCTTTACCATCTGGATTAAAAGTTATTTTAACAAGAAGTATTTTTTTTATTAAAGTAATGAAGTATATATTAAGTAGTATTTTCTCAATCTATGCTCTAATAGAAATGTATATAAATATATTATAAAATAATAACGGACAAAAATCTCATTTTTTTTTTACATAAGTATTTTAATATTCAAAATAACTTATATAAAGTTACATTGCGATGTAGAAGTTAGTTGTCCAGTTATCTAAATTTTAATTGATAATAAATTGTAACAAAACTTTGCACAAATCATTTTGAATAAAGGACTTATTCAAAAATATTGATTTTTTAATTATGATTTTTTTTTTAATTTTAATTTATTACAATAAAAATAATAAATAAAGTAAGTAAAATAGAATATATTGTAAACACTACTACTTTTCATATATATATATATATAGTTTGTTTGTACAAGTATAAGTATGTGTTATATATGTCTATCGAACCTCCTTAAGGAATATCTGATAGACTTTTAATCACTTAAATCGTCAATCAAGAGATGATCCTTTCGCGTTCCAGCAGCGAACTAAGATGAAACTCGCGTTCGTGAAGGCGATTGAGCGAGAGAGCGAGGATAATCAAACGATTAGTGGATGCTTCGTCGCATCCTAACGGTACAAACAGGTCGGGCAGATCAGCCATGAAGAGTGCAAGTGCCGCTCTCTTTCCAGCGAGATGAAAATATACGCGGTTGTTGCTGATCAAGGACCGTTCGCAGACAGGTACGATGGATATCCATAATTGTTTCTCGGGTACGGCGTGCAGAATGACTTCGGCACGTCGATTTAAGTCGGGCAGGTGGTTTCATGGCGCAATAGAAATAGACTAGAACTTGGAAAACAACTTTATATAAGAGGAGAACGGCAGACAAAGATGTTAAAGACGCCCTAGTACAGGACGAAGGATAAAATAAGGGAACAGCACTCTTTATTGATGCTCCAGTTCTGCTCAATATCTGTTGGCAGTTTAAATAATGTGACGAGTGTCGGTCGTCGAGTTTTTCCCGGCACAGATGTATTCTCGGTAACACGTAAATGTGAAGAAAGAGTTGCGAAATTTTTCTCTCGTGCGCGCGGTAGAAAAAACAATAAACTGGTAAGGCAAGAGTAGAAGACGTACGATACCTTTCGTGGGCAGGCCTCTAGGAGCATGTACACGTTGAGATTGTCCTCGAAGTAATGATGCATCTGGACGACGTTTACGTGATTCAGCTCTTTGTGAATCATGATCTCACGCGCGATCTACGAATGGCGTAAGAAAAGAACACCGCGTTATTATTCAGCGAAATAAATAGAAACGCGCGCTTTTCACTGAACTGAATGTACGCACCTTCTGCATGTGGATCCTCTGCATTCGATTCTTCGGAATAATCTTACACGCGTACTGATTCCCATTACTGACATCGGTCATTAGGTAAACCCTCGCAAATCCACCCTAAAAAGTGACATAAATCATTATCAATTAATAGAAATAATCCTATTTTCGGTCTTAGTGCTTAATAATACTGTAAATGTAAATTTTTGTCAAATGTATGTCAGTTTTATAAACATAATTGATGTACGGTTTGTCGAATTTAAAACACAAATGCAAAATAAATAAAGAAATTAATAGATTTCAAGTTAGATTGATCATCTATTTTAACGCTAATAAGCCTCTTGAAGATCTGTAAATAATTTTTGCAAAATATATCTCAGCCAGGAGTCACCATTTGTGACATGGATCAATTATAATCAATCAACTCGCAGTAAACATTTGACTCTTGAGAGAATCAAAGCGACAGAACGCGATCTTTATCAATATCATTTTTGCGACAACGTGATCCGTCTCTCTTTCGTAAAGAAGAATAATAAGAAGAATAATAAATCCCCGGGGCGTCCTTCTCTTCCCAGTCCTAGAATTCTCAAATTAGATTCCAAGAATTTCTCCTCGTTCATCTTCGATCATCCTTAGTCGATGGCCGTAGTGAAAGGTTCTCTGCACGACCGCTTTCGGTCTTAAAGTAATCTTCTGAAATTATCGTTTATTGCCTCCGCACAGTCGAAAGAATGAAAGAAGAAAGTGAAGGGAATTTCTTTTTACGAGGCGATATTTGCGGTTTTTGACAATCACAGGAGCCTTCCGAATAGCATAGCACGAATGGAACGCAAAGTAAACGTGCGACGATAGAAGAAAGGACGTATCCTTTTTTTACTAAAGATAATGTGTTCAATTTTATAATGTTTTAAGCTACAAAATACATTGTTGCGAATTGGTACGAGAAATTAAGAAAAAGTCAATGATAATTCCTTACTTAGATTCTTTAATAGCTCCTCTAAAACAGCGATTTAATGATACAAAATTGTTTCGTACGATGGTCATAGATTTTTTTATACTTAGAAATGAAACATTTTGTTACCGAAACAAAACAATTGCATAATAATAATGTAGGTATATCTTTTACTTTCTACAAAATGAAATTATGTTTAGTATTTCTCAACTTCCCCAGTTTAGCAAAGGTATATATAGATTTAAATCAATTGATTACTAAAATCGCTCTGGAAAAAATGATTGTTACCATAATTGGCCACCAATGACGAAATTAGTCTTTAATCATAACCTGCTTTATACAGGTAAACGCGTCGAATTTCTTTCTGTTACAAGAAGACACGCTATCTCTGACAGTTCCAAGAAACGTTCTTCGCTCGTAATAGATTATTTTGTTGAAATTACTAAAAGAGTTCTTATTTCATTTATCATGGCAACCAAATTTTACATTGTTACTTACAAAACGTAAGTGAGCAAATAAATTTGCACTGTTGAATAAAAAAAATTTACAATATCATGTAACAAAAGAATATTATATTTCGCTATTTTAACAAAATAATTCAATGATAATCGGCACTTGTGAATAATCTCTTTTTTTTTTTTTTGTTACCATTACCATATCTTTTTTCTCACTGAGGTGTTAAGAGAAGCTTTCCTCCCGAAACTTTCTTCCCAGCGGTAAAACATGTACAACCTTGTATTATATATTTCCTTAGCCTAAACATGCACAACGAGCACCATCGAAGTCTTTTAGTATACACTGCGAAGGGTGTAAACCTGATTGCGATCAGTAATATCGGAAAATCGCGTCAATAAACTGCTTACTACGTAATACTATAACAACAAATGCGTACGCGGAAAAACGGTGCCCGCGAAAAGAAAGGAGCGAAATGAAAGAGGAAATATTAGAAAGTTCGCTAAAGTATTTGAAACTGGCTTTAACGTGGATATAAATTTTAATAAAAGTAATAGTTTGGTATGAAGGTAAATTTTTGCCCTCCCCCCTCCCCCCTTGACTGAAATTTCTACGTAGGTCCATGAGGTGCGTTCACCTCTTCCGCCCCCCCCCTCCCCCACCGAGATCTTCCGACAAACAATGCGGCCACGAGAAAATCGTAAATTCGAAGCCGGCTCTGTTTTCCGAAATAGCTCGTCACTGGCGCGAGAACAAACGACGGGAAGTCTCCGATCGCGATTTAACGATCACTGGCGCGAGCCAGTGGGAAAGAGCGTGTGTGTTTGGTGTGGGCCCATTGCCAGAATAACTCACGCAAAAATATCCCAAACGAATTACGAGAGCGCGTAATACGTCTCGACGTGTGACGTCACGCAATTAGAATTATCGCATTCGGCGCGAAACGCGCTGCACGCGATCCTCGTGCATTCAGATAAGAACCTGGGATAAAAATGGGGCAAAGCTAAACGCGTGACCTCGGTGCGAGATGCAGATTTGCAGGCTGAGATCGTACGTAAGACGAGACTCTCGTGCCGGCCAACGCGGCCCAGGATATTCCTCGTTTCCCTCTCGTCCTTGCCGTGTTTCCGATGATAATCCCCCTCCGGTTCACAACAAGCATACGGTACATTCGAGAGTTCGCCCCCTACGTACGTGTACGAAACGGTTCGTTTATCTTTAAATATATCGCCGGGAACGACTAAAAATACCTACATCCCCGCACGCGTGTGCACGGCGCTTTTGTGCACGCACGGTTAAATGGGCTGCTGTTGAGAAAAAAAAAGGGCCCCCCCCGAGCCTTGTCCCCGTTTTGCATTTCGCTCCTCGGGAAACGGGACCGCACGCATTCTTGTCGAAATTAGCGCGGCTCGGTAACCATTCTCCTTCGATCGTTTATATTTCTTTCCTCCGTCGAGTAATCGAGATCTTCTACAATGCTGGAGAAACGTATTCGTCTCTTTTTACGTTGCGAGAGACCCCGTTGCACTCCATTACCGTTGTAGATAGATCGAAGGAGCAACGATAAACCGATCTCTTTTGAGTCAAATAATATTTTATTATTTTCAACTTTAACGTGTATCGAAATATAAATTAATCCACTTCTGTGATTAGTTTCGAAGTAAACATCGTCCATATTAATGTATGCATTTAGTAAATAATAAACTAAACGCGTGTACATTAAACTTTCTGTACATTTTAATTGGTTTTTTTTTACTTACACGGGCACACTTGTTTGAATTATTTACACGTGACTTTTGGTGAGTTTTAATTACTTGTTAGAATTCCGATATGTTAATTCGATTGTGTTTATTTTTTTCGTAAGAAGACTTTTTTTATCTTTTTTATCAACTAGACCTTTTTCCAAGAGATATGAAACACATTTGACTGTTCAATCGTAATGTCGAGTTCTACATCAAGAATCGCCCGAGATGTTATTAATTATAAGGAATATGCGGGTATTTTCGATAATTAATTTTGTACAACGACTTTTGTGATATTAATGTCTGAAGAGAGCTCAATAATCCCGTAGCCGAAACTTGTAACGTTTTATATTTAAATTTAAACTGAATTTCTTTTTCAATTTTACTTTCCTGTATTTGTAATTTATTCCTTTTAATTGTATGACAATTTAAAAAATGTGTTTGACTCTTATTTTGCCCTTTATTTATAATAAGCTAAATTTTAACCAAATTCAATAAATTTTCACGATTTAAATTGTTTAACTGTATTTTAGTTAAATGAATATAATATATATTGAGCAGTAGCGAGAAGAGCTATAGAAATTATTAAAAGCAACTCAAATTGGGTATTATTATGAAGTTAACAGTAATAAGGAGAAATACACGCATATATATGGAGAAAAATATAAATATGTATTAGAATTCTAAATTTTATGGAATTAACACAGGTCTATATATGTAGGTACACCTTATCTAAAATTTACTTCATTTTTCTGGTAATAAATAAGCGATCTTTTTCCATCTTCCGAGCGATCATTCGTACGATCTTCCTCTTTCGAGCCTTCCATTAGATATTCAGGGAATTATTTCATTCGCGAAATGAAATAATTAATCGACGATCGATTGATTCGACGAGTAAGATTTGATGAGAGGAGTTGATTAATATATAAACGTCAATTTTCCCGATACGCGTCGAGGATCCGACACATCGCCTCGCTCCTCGAAGGACAGCGATCCGTTAACTTTGCTTGATTTCCCCGACGCGACGTGGCGGTCAGCTTGTTGAAGAGCTCCGCGGCGTCTCGTCGCATCTCGCGCGTTCGTTTAGCGTGTCTCGTTGACCGTCTCCGGTATCCTCGGTCTCAGGGATCCTCGGGGACGCCGAAACGAGCCCTCGGGCCCTCCTCCTCGCGCGAACTCACCTCGACGCTTGTCGAGGATCCGCGAGATCTGCGAGAGCGCGACGGAGAAAACGAGCGCACCGACCGGTTTTCGCGCGGCACGCAGTGTGTGTGTGTGTGTGTGTGTGCGTGTGCGTGTGTGTGCGTCATCGATTCGATTCCAGAGAAATAATCCCATTCACGCGCCATTCACTGCAGGCATAATGGTATTCGCTCGCGCGATTTCGAACGCGCACGCGCAAACCAGCTCACCAGATCTCACCGTTTGCGTTCGTCGCGGAATTTCCTGTCCAAGTGCGAAGCCAGAGGACCGCAAGACGACAATACCGCTCGCGAATCGCGAATTTGGATCGTCGTTCGCGCGGGACTGATTTCGAGCCGATCGATTTCTCATCGTACAAAGAAAAACAGAAAGATTCAGATTCTTTCCTCAATTGCATGGAAGTAGAGAGAAATGAATTGATTTATCTGGAACATTGTAGGGATATAAATAATAAGCGTTGCTGCATTAGTTGCACGTATCTGCTCGTAAAAGGGGCGTCTAAATTTGGGAAAGCACGTCCCTTTCTTTTCCTCAAGTGTTCCCAACGAGGCCCTGACCTGACCTTTTGTTAATCTTTCCGGCTTATCAGGCGTTAGCGATGACGGGCGTCTCCTGCTTCGACGATCGATTCCTTTTGTTCTTCTACCGAGAATATATGCATGGCGTCATGTAATAGTCGCAAAGTGATCACTAGGGCGTAATGTTGCACGTTAAGTGGACCTTAAAGTCGTCTATTTTACCGATTCAATAGACATACACACATACGATTT